TGCTTTTTTCCACCGGCAAAGTAGAGCCATGCGTTCAAATGTTGTTAAAAAATGTTCTATGTCATCCTCATCCGTCAGTTTTTCAAGTCTGGGTTCATGAGAGTGAAACTGACCTGAGGGAGCATGTATTTGCTCATTATTGCAGCAGGTATGGTCATCACCTTCATTTGATTCTGCATCGGATTGTTGTGACTCATCCAATCGAGGCTCAGGAGCAAGGGTGGTACGCGCTTGCACTTCCACCTGTAGCAGCTGAAATTGGTGTCGCAGTGCTCTGAAGCGCTGTTCCTGCCGATTAAACTCCTCCCTCCGTCTTGCTTCCTGGGCTTCCTGCTGGCCCATATGAGAACGAAGAATGGAAATTACTTCTGATATTGTTGGCTCCTTACCCTCAGTGCTATCCACCCCTCCAGAGGCTCCATTTTCCTCTCCAACTTGCTCCTCCATTCCGGCGGGCTGGTTTTGAGGATCTCCTTTTTGTCCTTTGGCACTCCTTCCTGCTCTTTGCATGGCTTGGTAAGAGGAGGAGGAGGACTACTAAAAAAAATAACCGGTGCCTTTAACTGCAAGATCCCACTTCTGACACCACTGTGATGGACCGAGCAGTTAAGGAACAGCCAGGCACCGGTTTAAAGTCAAAATAATTGTTTTTATTTAACCCAAAACAAAACTTGGGTGAATAATAAGAAAAAATGACAAAATTTGGGCCCATAAAAGAGGTCAAAGTAACAGACATCAACTCAGACTAACTCAAAAAAACAGACCTAACAAACAGAGACAAAAGGGGACTTAAATACTGGCTGATCAGGCCACATACAAAACACAAAGGGGAAAATACACAGAAACCTAACTGAAACTAACATAGCAAAATCCCATTCCCCCCCTCTGGATGATGAGTAATGGTGTGAACCAATTTGCAGTCTCAGCTGGCTTGCTCCACCCCTTCTCCACCTCTCTGCTCTCCTAAGGATTGGGGCAGCCAGCACTTAAGAAACTCAGAAACAAAACAAAGATTAAATCAAGCAAAACACAACAATATAAACTAAAATGTGCGCACTTATTCTAGAATACAATGTGATGTGTTGCTTTCTAAACAAAACCAGTTATTCTGTAAATTAAATCCTAAACTTAAAGAAATCCAAATATAAGTGAGATGAACCTATTGCGTGTGGTGAGAGTGAATGTTACCACATTTGTGTGGCTGTAACTGCAGCCATCACAA